GAACTACAAGGTAAGATTATTTGTCATTGTAAGGAGGATGATCCCATCTTAAGGGGTACTCTCCTGAAATGCCCATGGCCACTTAAAAGTGCTTGGGAATTTACCACTTCTCTTTGCTAGATCTCCGTTTAGAAAACTTATGGACTCCTTCTTGTTGGGGAATCTCCACCGTAGTAACAAATATCATAAGGGTGAGTGTTTAGGAAAAGAGGGGCTAGGTTGCACAAGTTCATAAGTATTTCGCCAGAGTTTTAGGTTATTTTCTGACTGTTTAAGGCTCGGTTTATGTAGACACCCATTTGTGTCTCCCCAAAACCAAACCCGGTGATGAGTACCTTTCACGTCAACTCGAATGAAACGAAGTGTGGAAAGGTCTAGTGTTGCGGAAAGTTTTATTTCTTTTCTCTTCTCCCTGTTTTTGAAAACATTATTTTTGAGAAAACAGCCAATATAGTTTGGTTGGTCCATGATATGGGTCCAATAGTGGTGTAGTTAAATGGGGCTTGCAAAGACCTTTCCAACGATATATTATAAGCCCAATTCCGATGAATATTGAGGAAGTTATGGCCAATTTACTAAACTGGGCCTGGTTTGAGCTTTATGTACGGCCCAATGATCTAAGGGAGGGCCTAATATGATTTATCATTCCTAATGCAATTTGGAATGGTTTTAGTCTTCTAGAATCTTCTAGAAGGTTCTTTTCATTCCTAATTCAATTAGCATTGATAAGTTGACTTTGTTGACTTTTCAGAGTTTTAATCAAGATCAAATAGCAATTTCGAAGAAATTATATTATTTTATCTTCCAGTACGGGAAATTTATCAGATTTTTGAAAACGCGTTGAAATCCAGTTTGGCGTCCAACCCCAGGCCTTGGCGCCTGGAACCAGGCTTGGCGTCAGGCGCTAGCCATTGGCGCCAGGCGCTAGCCATTGGCGCTAGCCATTGGCGCCTGGCGCTAGCCACCGGTGCCTGGCGCCAGCTAGCCAGGGTTGGCGCCAATCCTGTTTTGCGATCGTCGGACTCTGTTTTGTTAAATTATCTTTTTTGGCTGATTTTCTCTATAAATATCGTATCGAAAACTCTGTTTTCATTCACCAATTCACAATTCATTCATCTACAATCATTCATCATCTACATCTCTCATTCATCAATTCTCATACATTAATTCTTTAACATTCTTTTCTTTCTTAAATTCTTTCTTGCTTTTTCATACAAAATTTCGCATTCACAAGATCTAGAAACACCTAGCCATATTTGAAGATGCCTTCGCCCTAGACGTGGAAGGTTTAATTTCTGAGGGTTTGGTCCCAAATCTCTATTTCAATTATTTAATTTAATTGCTTTGATTATTATTTTTCCTTGAAGTTACTAACGTGTGTATTTTGTTATTAGAAAGAGGTACGAGGCATCAAAGTAAGTACTTTAATTGATTAATTAATATTATGATGTAGAATCATGTTTATATTGTTATTATGATATTCCTAGTATCATGTCTAGGGTAATTTTAATATTAAATATGATTTCTATGATGCTTCCTATGTTCTTCCTAATATTTATGATTGCTAGTATCATGTTAGGGTTAAAGATTTGATTTTTATTGCTTAGTGACATGCTAGGGTTTGTTATTAATCTTGTTAGTATCATGCCTAGGAACTTGCTATTATTATGCTTTAATATTAACATGAACATTATTATTATTATTATTATTATTATTATTATTATTATTATTATTATTTTTATTATTATTATTATTATTATTATTATTATTATTATTATTATTATTATTATTATTATTATCTTGATTATTATTTTATTCATGATTACTATTACTATTATGATGATATTATTATGATATTGATTTCTTATTGATTATGTTGCTTGATATTTTATTATTATTGCTTGATCGCCTGTATGCATGTTTAAAGGGAATTTGGTACTTGTAATCATGCTTAATAAGATAATTAATAATCTTGTTAGGTTAATTGTGATTATAATCCAAGTGATCGCCAATAATAGTATATTTGTGCATTAAATTCAACCAACATAGATAAAAAGGTTTAGGGTTAATCCTATTGAATGTTAATTAAAAAGCGCACATGAATACGATCGGAATAAAGTAGAGGCCTATTATTAGGGCAGGTTCAATCACTTTTAGGTTGGATTTGTACCATCATCCCCGAACCCTTATTTGGTTCATGACCTTATTGAGTTGACGATCTCTTGGATCATTAAGGGGTGTAACCTTCACCTCGTGAACGGTTTACAAGTTCCTTAAAAAAACTTGTTGGCGACTCTTTTGCTCTATCTTCTTCCCTTTTGGACGCCACCGTACTTTAGTGTATGATCACAGTGGGGTTCAAGCTAGTGGGATTTAAAGTCTTGAAATTATTCCCTACAGTTTAAGCTCTTATTTTTAGGGACTGTTAGGTTTAGGGTTTTGAGCATTCTGCCACATCTGGTGTCGCGTGCAACAGAATGAGTTGCGCGCGGCATCCCAGCGCAAGTGATTCGGTTGCGCTGCTATAGGCAGCGCACCTAATTGTCTTGCGCGCGGCTTTATGGTAAGATTCGATTTTATATTTTCCGTATAATTCAAAATCTTCCGCATTGCAACTCTGGGGGTTGCGCTGGGTGTCGCGCGCAACTGAATTATTTGCACGCAGTAGCCCAACGCGACTCTTTGAGATGCGCGCGGCTTTTTCTGCGGCAGCACTAAGTTTTAACCTAGGCGCTCCTAAATCCGTCATTATTAGGTTTTAATCACGGGCTTAATCCTAATTATGATCGGGTTTAGTTAATTGGATCTTTGTTTTGGCTATTTCTTTAATTTCGGCTAGTGTTTTTTGTTTTGTGGCTTAACTAGTTATCCATAAGTATTCTTCACTTTGATCCTACACGAAGATGGTTTTATTTATCGTCATTGCACTTCTTGTCGGGACAGGAGGCCAAAATTAGATGTCTACTATTAGCCCCCACCTTGGTCGAGTCTAGAATAGACGATGATCAAAGTAGTCAAGGAAATAAATCCGAGACTCATTCTGCGAAGTTCTCTAAGGATAGAGAATCTTTCAGTAATGTTTAAGGATGTCGAAACAATCCTTTGTTTGCTAAGTGTTTGAAACAAGTAGCTATTAAGGCTAGAAAAAGTTTTTCCTAGTCTTAACGCGCTAAAGAATCTAGATTGATCCTTTGCAATTGTAGAACGCTTTTATAAGTAAAGGTGTTGTGGGTGATGTCAAGTCATGAGAAGAGATCGGTTTTAAAAGGATAAAAGGGGAAGATTTCCTCTCAATCATGTCATCGTTGGTCTAAAGTCCCTCGATATGTCATTGAAACTTTAGCTTGCTTTAACAAAGTAAAAAGATGAAAAGGGGTTTTCAGTATTTGAGCCGAAATGGTCCGGTATTCGAGCCGGATGTCCACAAGATATAAATACATGTCTGGATTTGAGGCATATATCCAAATTCAATTAGAGGGAAGAAAGTCAATAACTCTCTCAGCAGTTTTATCCACAAGATGAGTATGAGGACTGGGGGCACGTGACTACATAGGCGTGACATCATCTCATCGCTTCTTTTATACAAGGGATGATTTCGACACCGTAACTGTCCCCTAAGTTAGTAAGCGCACTAACTACCGTATTTGCTCCCATGCAAGAAGTGCCTGTTCGTGATGGTTCGGCGCGCCTATCGACTCGTGAGCTAACGCCTACAGTAATTCTCTACCTACGCCTTACAATTTTATGCCGTACGATACGCCATTTGCATTTTTACGCTACATGAAAACACCTTCCTTTTTGCTTCGAACGTGAAAAAGAAGAAAACCTGGACATTTGTAACGTCAGTACAGTAAAATGACAAACCTGTCTATGGCTGCTTTTACGTAAAGCACTACCACGGAATTTTTTAAGGCACTCTTACGAAAAACGTTTCAAACGTATGCTTGGGAAAGGCACAAAGCACGGTGTGCATGCAAGAATGATGCAAAAAACTAACAAAGAAGAAAACAAACTACAATATGCAAAGCAATTTTAAAAGATTTTGATAATTTGCGCGCCATTACGTTTAATAACGAGCAAAAAACCGTTGAAAAATTATCAAACGGATCAAAATCAAGATTCCGGTCATTTTAGTGACTGGTATCCGTGCGTAACTCAGCTGGTCGCGCTTGCCAGGCGCGCGCATCGTTCTAAGTTGCGCTGGTTTGTCACGCGCAATAGATGTCAGTAAAGTGAAATCGCTGAGCGCGATTTTCACTTCACTCTTTCTTTCTCCTTCATTTGCTATTTTCGCCCCTTTCTCTCTCTAGGAAGCTCGGATTTTTGCGATTTTTAAAGTTAAAGGAAACAAATTTTGTCCTTAAATCATATTTGTCATAATCTAATATAAGTTTTTTTTTTAAAATTTGTTCTAATCTGGCTGAATTTGAACGATTTTTGAATCGTTAAACCCCAAATTTCGAATGTGCACTACAAAAAAAATCACTTATAGAAGCAAGAAGAAAATGCCTCAAATGATAGTAATGTAGCCTCTAATTTCTTTTAGAGACAACAAATTAAGTGCCTCTAATAAGTCGACAGCTAATTGATGGCATGCCCCTAAAGCCATAATTTTGCATTATAATATAATTTGGAGCATTATACAAATTTGCTTCTAAATACTATATTCATTTTGGGGCAATCATACTACTTTGTCTCAAAATATAATTAGATGCATTTCGTATATAAATGCTATAATGATATTTAGATGCAACTAAAAATTTTGACGTGAGTGATTTTTGGAGGCATAATACATAATATGTGCCTCTAAATTATTGGTTCTAGATATATTGAAATTTATTCATACAATATCCAATTTTGTAACATAATTTTCGTACAAATAATTTATAATATCAATATAACAGAAGTAAAGCCAAAAAAACATGACTGGCAATGCTGATTTTATTATATCACACTAAAATGATTTTATTTATAATTTAATAGTTATTACAAAACTGATCTAAATACTGCAATTAAGTTATTACTAAACAACTTAGCTACAAAATAATTACATGACTAGTTATTAAAATTTTATAATGTGAAATAACAAAGAGTTTTCATTTCAAACTATAAGCTTGACAAAAAGACATCATTTTCTTCAATTGCTTCTAATTCGATCTCTATCCATCTTCATTGTATAAACTCCTGCCATTGTAAAAATATGGTATTATATATTTGTCTGCAATGATAAAAATTAATAAAAGTAGGTATTAATCATTAATTCATAAGTAAATTAAAAAGTTAAATGATCATAAATAAATATTACCCAATAAAAAGAAAGATTAGATAATTAATTTCACTAAAACTTACAATTATTTTTTTAAAAAAAGTAGTACGTACTACTCCTCTTCATTTGCTTCCATTTCATCATCCATATTCTCATCAATAAATTCATCTTCATCCTCATCTTCATATGTATTTTTTTGTTAATGAAAATGAAGTTACTTTAATCTAACTACAAATAGCATATGTTGAAGCTTTGACCATTTTGTTTTTTCTATTTGCATATACATAAAGCCTAAATAACAAATGCAATATGGCAGTTCAAACACAATATATTATAAACTCAACAAATATAGAATTTGACCACTAACAATATATTATAAACACAATATATTATAAACAAACCAAATATAGAATTAGTCCTGTTAAGTGTGAAGTTTCTAATCACTCTAATATCATACATGAGATTAAAAAAATGACATGACTAACAAAAAGTATCAGTAATAAAAAGAAAGATAATGCTTATCAAAACAATATCGAAATTATAGCATAAATTTTCCATGACAGGTTTAGCACATTCAATATATTTCAAAGTAGAAAAAATATTAGTTAATAAAAATAATAAAAATACTTGTTCTCTGAACAATTTTATGAACTCATTTTTATGAGAAGAAATCATCCTTGTGTTACTTGTAGCATTGTGATTGTACTCACTGTATATAAAATTACCAAAGTTATATATTATTACTATAATTATTAATCTTTAAATATGTACTCTACTTGCTAAAATATATCAAACTTACTCAATAAATGGTTGTACTTCCGTCACAATTATTCAGCACATAATAGTCAACTTCTTCCCATTCCTTTGTTGTAAGTAATCGAGGACATTCCTTTCCAAACGCTCTACCCCTTGTCTCAAATATAGGTAAGGAATCAGTTTGAAAAGTGTCACAATCATCATAAATTCCGTCTTGTTTGTTTGTCTCTATATCCTACATATATCTGAGCAAAATGTTAAGCACTCCTCTAAAAGATAATGGCCCTCTAGGTGACCTTTGTTACATACATACCCTTTTAATTTTTTGAGATACCTGTTAAAAAAGGAAAATTTATTAAATTCCATATGTATTTATTATTATTGTAAAACACAAAAAAACTATGAAATTTATATACCTTTTAATGGGGTACATCAAACGATAATGAACTGGCCTGCAATCAGAGCTTGACCTGCAAGGTGTATGGGTAAGTGTACCATGATCACAAAAAAAGGAGAAAAATTCTTTCAAGTTCACAAAGGGTAACACCAATTTGCCTTTCCAGCTTCTCTAACTCATCAATCTTACAGCACATATATGGCAATTACATAATCAATACTTTACCACGCTATAACAATGAAACGAAGTCCATAACTACAATTAACAGACCAAACAATCAAAACTTTATAATATAGATAATTTATAAGTTATAAGAAAAAGTAGATAATGTACAAGTGATAAAAAAAAATGCTTAATTGATTAGTTAATGATTTAAGAATACATTGGCTATATGGTATTTTTCTTTTACTGAAGGCACTTCAAATAGATTAATGATAATTAGAGTACAAACAAAGAGTCAAGTTTAGTGAGCAACCAAAGCCATTATCCTTGAACAATATAATAACAACTCATATCATGTATTCTTCTGACCTTGCTAAATCATCATTTGCCTCACAAATTGCTAAATCGTTATATGTTGGGGCTGGGACTATTTACTTGGTGCCAATGATCATTTTCTTAATCAAACATAATCCCTTTGAATACATGTCCTCCTATGTGTACTAATGCTAAGCTTTTTGATATGCATACTCATCTGTTTCACTTTTTTTCAACACAAAACATTGTTATATGTTGTACATTCTTCTATATCTCTTCTTTTTCTAACACAAATCATTAATATACACATATTTAATTTCACCAAATTTAACCCCTATTATACATTTTTTAAATTTTTAAATAGTGTTCTACATTAATCAAAACTTCCCTTAAGTATAATAGTAGATAATAAGCATTGCATCAAAGTTGAAACATTTTATAGCATTCGATTTCAATTCGAAAATTAAAGTAGTTCATTCTTACAAAAAAAATAATAACAACCCTAAATTCTCAATTCAATCAAAAAATTAAGAATGCCCTTATATTCAAAATAACAAAAAATACACAAAAAATTTTACTTCTATTGATAATTAAACAATTAAATTACCTTGGAGAGTGATGTGTACTCTGACAAATCAAGTTCGGCTGCTAATTCCAATAGCTATTTTTCTGTCTTGTTTCGCTAGTTCGTAAGATTATTTTTTGAAATTGTTTAGGGTAAAATTACGGGAGGAAAATTTGGTAAAGAAAGATAGACAAGGGATAATTTACCACATATTTCACAAATCAGGGAAATTTTAGGAGCGAATAACCGATGAAAACAAAAAAAATTCCCTCTCAAAATTTGGGGCTGGTTTAGTTTCGAAAATTCCCTTATTTTGGGACAAATTCTGCCAAAATTATCATGAAGATAATTATGAAAAGTATTTTTTCCATATTTTTTTATTGTTGAGATTGAAGATAACTTAGGAAGATTTGGTGGGTTTTTACTAACTATTTCTTTTTGGGGAAATAATGGCGGAGGATACGAATATCCTTTGCATTGTTGGGAAATGTAAGGCTTGTAATAACAAAGATATATGCTAATTACTCTTTATGCTCTTTTTTTGTAATAAAAAAAAGTACTCTAAGTGGTTGTTCTGATTTAGGGCGTGTTCACATTTACTGAACTGAGCTGAAATGAACTTAACTGATTGGAGCTGAATTGAACTGAACTGAAAGGAGTTGAACTGAACTGAACTGAGCTGAAATGAATATTTAAGAGAGAGGGAAATTAGGAGCTGAATTGAACTGAATTGAAATTAAGTAAATATGAATAGAACCTTAATGAACTAAACTGAATAGAGCTAAAATGAATTGTTTATGAGAGAAAGAAATTAGGAATTGAAATGTATTGAACTGATTGGAGCTGAACTGAACTGATTGGAGCCAAACTGAACTGAACTGAACTGAAATTAAGCTAAAGAGAACATGCCCTAAGATTGTGAGGGTAAACGAATTAGAATTTTAGATATTTATCGATTTATATTATAAATATAGTAATAGTTTTATGTCTTCTATATCTATACAGTATATCTGGCTAATAAAAATATAGACAATATATGATTGATCTGATCTAATCTAATCTAATCTGATCATTTCTGAAATAACGTCTTTTATGTGCGGCTAACCACATTGTGTAGTCACTTGCAAAATAAATAATCAAAAAGGTAACCCCTATAACACCAACAGAGTAAATCCTTATTATACTTATTGAATAACCCTTATCAAATTGATAGAGTAACCCCTTATTATACTTATTAAATAACCCTTATTACACTACCTTACTATAAGTAAGCTTTATAACCATAATAGAGTAATCCTTATTACACTAACAAAGTAACTCATGGTGGCTGGTCATATAGTATAGCCAAATAGACCCGCTACATATAAAAGTTATGTTGATGAAATATGTTGTTATCAACTTAAATAATGTAAAGTGAACATAACATATGTGTATAATTTGTTTTCATGAAATTTTGCACAAAATATGAAATATAGGTATTTGCTTTCATTATATATTGAATAAAATACGGAGGCCAGAAGAAGATGAATAAGAGACTAATACAAAAGTATTTTACATAGCAAAATACATTTTTTTCAAGTACTGATTAAAATTCTAGTGAAATTAATTTAGTGTAATAACTTATAATTTTTGTGTAAGCTAGGCGGGTCTACATTTATTTTATTGTAAAATGGTTAGTTTGAGAGTAACTTTAACTATTTTTGTGGTAACTTTAACCCCTAAAGAGTAAGTTTTAATTTGTTGTTAGTTTGAATTTATTTTAATTAAATTTTTTGTATAGATACATGATTAAATAATATAAAGACTAATAAGATTAGTCTAATAATACATTACAAGTTTAATGTAAGATAAAATTTATTATTAGAATAATAATATTTTTTTAAGGAATAGTTTTTTTTTTAGTATAAGGGTAACTTTAAATTTTTTTAAGACAACTTTAACCCGTCTTACAATAAGAGATATTTCTTAATTTTAATAATTGTACTGTTAGCATGATGGTAATATATAATATTCATAAAAAATCTATAATTTCCAACCCTTACAAAAATCAAAGGAAAACAAAAAAAGGAAACAAGATTCTTTTAGCTCTAAAATTCATTATCGGCGGCTAATTAAGGTGCTAATATCACTTTTAATTGCCGCCAAAACACTAAAATTATTTAGGATTATTCTCTCAACTTTCAAACCTAAACCTTTTTGCTTTTGTGATTAACAATTTCACAATCTCGTGAATTACAATTGTCATTGCTCAACCCAATTTGCAAATTCCTTTAATACACCTAGAATTATTCTCATCGTTTTTTTTTTTAATTTGATGATATTGGAAAAACTCTAGTTGTCATTAGTTCTAATATGACAAATCAAGAAAAAGAATTGCAATCTGAAACACATGCACAGGTAATATGATTTACTTATATTGTACTCCGCATTTTTTTCTTTGCTTGATAAATTAATTCTAGATAACCATGATGAACAAAATTATTTTATAGTTATTTTATACAATTTGTTTCGATTTTTCTCTTTTTCTTAGGTTAATTTTGTCCAAATGAATCTCAATCGAATTCTAAAGTTAATTTGATGTATACAATTGTGCTATTTATATATAACTTATTTTAAAATTGAGTATTTATCCTCAATGTTAGATTTGTATGTGCGACATTTTTTAAAGTTTTTTCTTTAAATGTTGATCTTAGTGTTGTTTGTGGTTTGAATTTGCACTAATAAATTTTGTAGATAATTTAAGGGTTTTCTTTTGTGCTATTTATCTCATTTATCATAAGAACCAACTCGCCAGGTTACCTCTGTTGTGGTGATTCCTAGTTCAAGTAAGCTGAATTGATAAAGCTAATCGGTATTAGAATTTTATTGTGCCTAAATTGATGAATATATGTGTGCGTTATCTATCACCCTGGTTTTTCAATGGTATAAAATTATACGAGTAACATAATTTTTGCTTCTTTATAAGTTAATTAAATTTCTTTTATTTGAAAGTATTTGGGTTGTGATTATGAAATTGTTGTTGTAATTAATAAGTAGGTTTCTTTTGGTTGTATATTAGTATTATTAAAGAAGGTTGTATTGGTTTTGCCAAGACTTTGATGTTTTTATTTCAATTTAGTCCGAGAGACATTGTAATCAAATCGGGACTTTTTGATTTTAGAGGTTAGGAAAATTGGAGGACAGAGAATGTGTTGGAGGGACATATTGTACATCAAATGTAATGATTCCAAGGAATAATTAACTATCAATAGCACCGTAACATTTAATGTTAAATAGAAACTTTTAGGGGCAGCAAAAAATTTTTTAGAGGGAACCATAATTTAAATTATATTAAAAATAACTTTTAAAAGCAACAAAATATTTATTATTACAAAAAATAACTTTTAGAGGCAATTACATTTTCATTAATGTAAAAAATGAACTTTTAGAGGCAAGTTTGAATTCACTAATGCTAAAAGTAACTTTTAGAGGCAAAAATAATGTCATTGACACAAAAAAGTACATTTAGGGGCATCTTATAATCCACTAATGCTAAAAATGACATTTAGAGATAATTATAGTTTTATTGATGCTAATTATATCTTTTAGAGGCTAGAAAAAATTATTTGCCTCAATGTGTTGCCTCTATAAATAAATTTACTTGTAGTGGTGGTAGATGCTACTCTTGAAGATGCACTTTTCACCTTAGCGCAAGACGGAAAATTACGCGCAATACTATTTTTTATTATGATGATTCGTTTACGTACTTTATAATCAAGCTAATGACATTACTTCTTATGAGGTTCGTCATTAGAAGTTCGCATCTCTTAATAGGACGTCATCAATAAGTTTATTCTTAAACGTGCCTCTTTTCGTGTTCATAATTTTAGTTGTAATTGGTCAATATTGATTTAAGAGTATAATTTATTTACCTCATCTATGGTTTGAAAAGAAAATTCCGAGAACTTTACTTGGGATGATTGCCTCACAAAAAAAAGAGAGAGAGAGAGAAAAAGAACGAAAAAAAAGAAATGTCGTTCTTAAAAGAAAAGAGTATGATACGAAAAAAATATATAATGAATGATTAAACCGAGAAAATGATTTAATTATTTCTTGGATTTTACATTCGGAGGCCATCATTCTTCTTGAACAAATAGTACTATATTATCCTTTAAAGATAAGCAATATGAAAATCATAATTATTAAAAAAAAACGATATTGATCTCTATTGTAATCTAAATGATCAACAAATACTATAGTATATTTGATCATTTTAAGGAGTATGTTTGAGTTGATTAATATTCCTAAAATTTGATCAGCATTTTCAATCTAACTTTCTTGACTTTCTCTTCTACCTTTTTCGAAAACAATTCATTTAAAGTAAAATCCTTAGATGATTACCTTGTTGAATTTAACACAAATCATGACATTCAATTAATGATTGTTCGTGAAATTTTTGACATTCTCCATCAACAAACTTGTTTAAAGTGAATTCGTATTACAAGGATTGTAAAAAAGAAATAAAACAATCATTTGACTGTAATTCATTGTTTGAATTCTTGGCAGTAAAGATTTAAGTGAACACAATCTATTTCTCGTGACACACATTACTAGATCATCTTCCACATTCGCATACTAGTCCATTCATGGGTGACAAAGCAGCATTGGAGAAACTAAGAGAAGAACTCCAAAACAAAAAGACCCTACGAGAAGAAGAAGCCCAAATGAAGGCTCATAAAAAAAGCAGAAAAGACTAAAATAAAAGCAGAAAAAGAAAAATAAAACATTCTGCAAGAAAAAGCAACAACCGAAAGAGTAGAGGCTTTAGAGAAACTTGTCCTTTGAGCTAACTCAGGGAATAAGTACTTCAATTATGAGCTTGCACCACAACCTAGTGGCAAGACTCTCCTAGAAAAGTACTTGACTACGGATTTGCCAACCTTTAAGGTTACAAACAATCCTAGGACTCACTTAATGAGCTTTATTGGAATTATGGCAATGAAAGGGGTTGAGCAAAGCCTATATGCATATACTTTTCCTCTTTCATTGGACCCAACTGCTAGATCATGGTTTTATAACCTCGATGCAAAACAAACTTCCACTTGGATTGACGTTGTAAAAGTATTTTTAACTCAATATGGAGATAACATCAAGCTCACAACTACCTTGCGCGATCTCGAATTGCTTAAGCAAGGGGAAGAAGAAGACTTCATTGACTTGTTTTCTAGGTGGCGATCAAAGGTTGCTCTTATTCATAAAGACCTCTAGATCATGAACTTGTCCCAAAGTTCATAGACAATATGTCTCCACCATACAAGTGCCATTTACAATACCTTGGTTTAGACACATTTCAAAAAGTCTATACTGTAGGAATAATAATTGAAAGGGACTTGATAAATGAAACCATGAATCATATAAATGGACTTGAGTTTTAGAGAGGATTTCACCTACGTCGGAAACGGACAAAGCTCGAAGACGCAATCTCAAGAAGTTGTCAACAATTCAAGATGTAGCTTCCTAGGTCTTCATTTGTTTCTTTCCTTTGTTTTGTTTTGTTTTGTTTTTTTTAT